TTGCATCTTTCATTGATTGCCCAAGAGTAGGTATGAGCTGGGCCAACGCTGCTAGTGTGAGCTTTCTGGTAATTGGAAGACATGGGATGGCTGCCTCAAGAGGTGGCAGCAGAAATAAGAGCATGCATCCACCTTCAATGCTTATAACATGGAATGCTGTCTGTGTGCCAGGAGGGAGTTCTGATTTTTCTCTAACTTGTGCTACAGTGGCCACTTTCAGATCAGGGGGCCATCCTGCATTACTTTCACAGGACTCTTGTGCAAGGCAGTGTGCAGGGCTAGGCAGAGAGAACTTGATACAGGCAAAAGTAAAGGAAACCCAATGTCTGCATTTACTGGAACTGATGCAATAAAGTGAGGAAATGGTGCACCTGATCTGGAGTGTTCTCTTGTGTGGAAAGGTTGGTCCTCCTTGGTCCAAGTGATTATGGCCATGGGTATGAACTTTGCCAATCCAGCAGTCCAACTTTCTCATTTGAAGTGGGATGTTTTTCTAGAGATGGCTGCAAAGGAGCAGTAATCTCCTTACTGTTGCCACTAAGTATTAAACAGGAAGGGAGGAGGAGTGGGGACGACATCTCTAGTGGTGCTGATGTGAAGTTTCCTACATGTCGAGCAATGGAATGTCTAACTGGTTTGCTAGGATTATTTCTGTATTGAAAGTTTCTAATTATGCTTTTTAAATAATTTTAAAAAACTAAAAATAAAGGTTACAAGCTGCCAAATTTTTCCTTTGAGGGTCTGTTTCCTCTGCTCTCCAGCCTCTGGCGCTGGGTTCTGTCCCTGGCTTGCTTCTTTCTGCTTATACACCATGCTTTTGCTGCAGAGTGCATCAGTAAAGTAAAATAACTGCCTTCAAACATCTTGCTGTTCTGGGACTTCTGGGTGTGCTTGGTGCAACTGCATATTAAATCTTTACCAGTGTTCAGTTGGCAGGAGGATTTTTTTTTTTTTTTTTTTTTTTTTAAGTAGAGGGGAAAGGCATAGTGTACAAGGTGAAGTGCTGATGGCTTTCCTAGGCTCTTTAGGTCTAACCTATTGGGTGCAGGGAAAGTCTGGCGCTTTTTTGGAGGCAGCGCAGGCCAGACTTTTAAATTGGTAAGAGAAGTTGGACAAAAGCTCATCCTGGATGTGGAGGGAGGGTTGCTTCCATCTGTGCCATTCTAAAATAAGAGTAAAGTAGCTGGTGCAAGATGGAGGCATTTCATTGTTCCTCTGTTGCTCTGTTTGACTTGGAGCTGATTATTGCTAGAACTTCTTTCTGTATTCATTATTCAGGTTCCTCACCACTTGCTGCTAAGAGCTTTAATCATACCAGCTAATTTTTTCCAGCTCTAATGCCTTGGTCTCTTTAAAATGAGATCCTTCTCATCTATTTTTCTATGCAGCTGAAGGAATGAATGCACTAGAAAGATGCTGCTATTTCAGTGCTATGCACCTCTGGAAGATCATCTGACAGGGTTGCTTGAGATGGCAAGATACTGTTACAGTGGGGTGTTATGGTGACTCTAAGAAGTTAGTTAAGTGAGCCTTCTTCATACCTTCACAGAATAACCAGTGATTTGAAAGTGGAGACCATGTCATAGAAACGATTCATCTTTATTCTGAAGAGAACTATTTACAAAAGAAGCAGTAGAGCATTGTATTTACTAAAATATGCCTTTATAGATTTATATAATGTGGATCTTTATAAAAAACAAAACAAAACCATACACATATTTACATTGCTTCTACGTACAAAAATTACAGCACTGTGGTATGTACATATCTATAGATACATTCTTTCTGCTTGTCCCTGCTGTGTGCTTTTTCCACATCCAATCTAAGAGGACTGTCACTGCAGCACCCAGGCATGTCCCTTACGCTGCTTAGCTTTTGGTTAAAACAATCTTGCTTTTATAGCTGCTGAAGTGGACGTAGCAAGAAGGGTTGCAGTATGTGGAAGGGGGAGGTGTCCAGAACTCGCCATCCCTCCTAGTCTATATGGGCCATGCTGTAGTCCTTGTGCGTACAGTGCTGCCTGTCACTCAAGTATCTCGCTCTGCTGCACAAAACTGCATATCTTTCTTGCAAACTGCTCTACTGTTCATGTCAATGGTAACTGCTGACCCAGGTTTGTCAGGATAAAGTGCTAATGACATGCCTTGCATATAAATACATCTGCATTAATGTCCTCTCTACTATGCTTGTTAGTCTCACTTCACATTGGCCTAATCTTTAAGGGGAGTTCTCCTCTACCCTTCTACTAGCAAAAATTGCTTGTTGGCCCAAATGGGTGATGGTTACTGCTTAAACTCCAGGTGAAATGTGTGTCCCTCACCATAGTTGCATGATGAGTGTAATGTGTAGTAACTAAAGTGTGAAACTTCATTACTGATATTTTTATTGTTTAGTTTCTGACTAACACTACTACTTCTATTGTTGGAGATGCAACTTCTAGGTGATATCCTTGTTTATTGATCCTAGACTAAGATACTTTCTATAAGCTACTGTGCTTGCTCGATGTTAGAGGACCTACAGTTGCTTTCTGAGCACGTGGCTCTTCTCAAGTGTGGTTAAGTATCATCTGCTGTGAGTGGAGTGCTTAATCCCATTTCACAAGCGCCAGTTCTGAGTCTCAGCTCTACTGCCTTGTATTGCCTGTGAAGGTGAGTGCTTTGCTTTGACAGTTTGAAAGAGGATGAAATGTTCAGGCTGCTTAAAGCACAGCATGCATTACTTTGTCTATTTGGGAATGCAAAGGACAGTGGTAAGCAAAATGAAGATTTTAAGGCAGTTGTGTTTCATGTTGAGTAGCAGCTCAACACAAGGACAGGCTTTCTTGTGGCTTGTCACTTCATTGATCGATTTAAGCCCCATCACCTCCACTTTAACAATTCCTTCCCTATTCCTTGGTTTCTGTTTCTTAGTTGCACCAGTATACATGATCACCCAGCCTGAACTAGAATGGCTTTCCTTTCCCATTCTCCAACTGGAAAAAATATTGCAGTAAGACTAACTTGATTCCCTTTTTTTTTAACTGAAGCAATGTGTGTTTGTGTACTTCAGCTGCCTACTACATTTAGCAACTGAATGACTAACTTCTACTCTCCCCTCTTAGCAAACATGCAGCAGAAGGCACCTTTCTTTCTTATTACTATATCTGCATTGAATATCCCAAGGCCCCTGCCTTAGGATTGTACATACATCATGGCTATAAAGTCCCACACAGTTGCTGGGCATGCAGTCCTGGGGAAGGGCAAGAGTAAAGTAAAAAGATAACAACAAACTGAAGATTTAGGGTGCTGCCTCCATATCCTGGCTGCAGCCTTCTCTAGAGGCTATGACAGGGAAGGGAGAGACCAATGATTCTCAACACGGGTTCTGCAGCACACTCCTTTCAAGGGTGCCATACAAATGTGATTCACAAGAAAAAGCATTCCCAGTTTAAGCACCATGCATCCCTGGTCCATTATGAACTTTCTGGTTTTTGCAACAGAACTGCTTTCTTTTCTGCAGTCAAAATGAGTGAAAGTTAAGAGCTGGCATTTTTCTAAGGGGTGCCTTGACTCTAAGTTGAGAACCACTGGCCTAGATGCATAAGGCAGGCTTCATTGCTTAAGCTAAAAGGTTGGTGGTAGTGCTGGCATCCAGGAAACCTTCACCTATGGCTGTAGGTGCTGGGCATGTGTACAACTGTAAGCACTGAGGGAGGCCCTAACACCTCACACAGACTTAGATGAATGCCAGTTTAGTTCTAACCAGATACACCTTTCACAGATCCTATAGACATGCTCAACACCCAACGCTTTCCCCCTACAAAAAAAAGTCAGGAGTTCGGATGATGCTACTTTTTCTTCCTTTGTACATCCCCTTCTGTCTAGTGGAAGGAAGGCTTTTAAGTAATTTGGAAAAGGCTCCTCGTTGTGAATCCTGTCACAGTGTACTACGACCCAGCCCTTTCCAGGAATTTATCTGTACTCCACTCCGTGGGCATTTTCCATTGGCTAGTTTAAGCATTTCTCAGGGTGGGGCCGGGATGGCTGATTTTGGGGCCTGTGGATTCAGTGGGATAGGACAATAAAGTGCTGCAACGCTGAGAATCGCACCAAGACCTCTTGTGGATCTAGCCTGAAATGTTTCATGTTATGACATAAAGTGCTTTGAAGAGAACACCAAGCTAGTCCTACAGTGTATGGGGGAGGTACCTACCCTACTAGCCAACTTATCCCTGCTGCTGGATTTCTGGCACTACTAGATGAACACTAAGCAAGAGCATGCCTGTATTCCTGGCTGACTAGGACCAGCTGCCCATGTCCTGAGCATAGAGAAGATCCAGCCACCTACTACCAAGTCCTGTGTAGTGGAAGACTCAGGGTTAGCACTGACTAGTGGTTAAGCCTACAGTACAGAGCAAAGGAAAAACTACACACTTCTAACCAGATCCTCCAGTTAGCCACTCCACTTCAGTTTCAGTCAGCAGGAGTTAGCTGTGAGAGTTGCTGAATGTTCATGACAAACCTTGAGTATGTGTAGCAGAGGGGGAAAGGTTGGGGGTAGGAGGGGAAGCAGGTTCCTGAGAGTACTCAACATCCACAACTCCCATTCAATAGAATTTACCTAATGGGTGATCAGCCCCTATGCATCAAATCCTCAGAACTGACTGAGGGGGTTTGACTTAAGCTCACAGCATTACAGCTCCACTGAGTGGTCAGGGATTTGGATTCCAAATGTGGTAAAAAGGGTCCTCCTTTTCCCTTGCATTCATCCCTTCTTTCCCTTACCCTCAGTGGGAATCATACTAGACTTCCATCTGGGGCTGCTTACTTCCTTCTCCAGATAAGAGAACAAGTTTAAGACAATCGGATTATTCATCACAGCAGAAACTGAGGGGACTCTCAAAGTGCCTAAAATGCACCCTGCAGTTTATCACTTGAGGAACAGGAACCGTTGCTCTCAATTGGTATCACTGTCCAATTGTCATCGCCAATTTATGTAAACAGTGGATCAAACCACATGGAGTGTAGATAGTGCAGTCTCAAGGGTTAATTTCTTTGCCTTTTGTGTTTTTCCTATTGGGTCCATCAGCAAGCTGGGCAGTTGCTCCTACTTCCCATCATGAAGCAGGATAAGTAAAGAGGTTTCTCCTTTCACACTAATTTTTCTTGAAAAAGGAAAAGAGACGGTTCCCTTCTGCCCCAACGGGCTCATCCCCCTGCTGCTCCGGCCTGAACACGGGGGAGGGTCTTGCGCTCCGCTTTGCACCATAGCCAGTGGAGAAGGAATAGGCAGGCTGGCTCCATTCCTTTGGGTGTTTGTCCATCAGCTGCTGGTCAATGACCCTGTGCATGTCGTCCTACAGTAGAAGAGAGAGGGGAAACTAATTAATAGGGCAACCAGAGTTTTGGCAGGGCTTATTCATGGATACAGCTAATAATGGGATTATAGAATGGCTATGATGAAATGAAGAGAACAGGAATGGCAGCTGGCCACCAAGCTTTCATCAGCCTCATCACCTTTTCTCCAACAAGAGACCCAGAAATATGACAGGAGGGAGTTTAATTTCTTTCCTTATTAGAGATTAAGCCCATCCCAGACAGCTTGAGGCCCTGGGCTGGCCCCTTGCCAGGGTTCTCCTGATAAGTGGGAAGAGGAGCACAGCTTCTGTTTAGTGGTGTCATGAAGAGTTGCAAAATACTCTTCTCCGAGCTGCCTGGGTGCCAACTGAATGCAAGAAGAACTGATGAGGCATAGGCCTGAAGTAGAGGCCAGTAAGGGTTAGGGCTTCAGACCAGAGCTAACCTAAGCTCTGTACTGAGGAGCAACAGGACAGCTGCTAAAAACATGTGGCAGAGAAGACAAAGTGCTTGCATATATTACATGGACATTTCAAAACAGTATGATCAGTGGGAACTAATGGCGTGAGTGGTGACCCTAGGAATAAGTAACTGGGAGGGTGGAAGCTCCCTGTATTGTCCAAAATGCAGTTAGAACAACTCACCGATGAAGACTATATAGCATAAGGTTGCCTCAGACCGGTTTTCATCCCTTACATGATGGGCCACTGAAATCCTCTGATCAGCGTAATTCATCTCTGAAGCATACGTTTTTTCAGTGTACAAGAACAATCCTTCCTTTCAGCAACATGCCCAATGCAATTGCATTATGCAAACAACCTTAAGTCAGCAATCAGGCAGAGGTAACCAACCATCACCCAATGATGAGCCAGTAGGCAACAGCCTAAAAGTGAAACGCACATTGAAACTCTAATCCAGGCCTACTGGACAACTGCAGCTGTGATCCTCCCACAAGCACAATACACAGGCAGGAGTTAATTTTACAAGAAAACAATGTGTGGCTAACAACAAGCTTGTGAGAAATGTTAAATACATAAAACCAACACAGATGACTGAGGTTTAGTTCTCAGGTGCCCTGGTTATCACGGAAGGTCTGACATTGGTGCTCTGGCTAATTAAACATGCCAGTATAAATACTTGTTCCATTGCCATATAAATATTAGGACCTCAGATAAACACCTCTGTGGAAACAGGCAAAATCAGATTCTCCAGTTTGCCGGTGGCAAAAGTGAGACTAGACAGTAAAGTGACTTGCTAGTGTCACAGAGCAGGGCTTCTGGGCATGCTTTTCCCCTAGTGCAAATCTGCACACTCTAAACGCCATCACTACAAAGTCTCTTTTTTTAGGCCAAGACTATGGCAAAACATTTATTACAGACTGTCCCATGCAGTTGTCTGAATGGGGGAACCAACATCTGGAGAAGACAGGACAGAGTTAAGCATTCACCCATCCCCTCCACGCTGCCCACTGTGCCCAGGCCCTGCCAAGTTTTTTTCTGTCTTACCACCTGCTGTACAAAACCACATCCTCTAGCCTGCTGCTTGTAAGGCTTTGCCATCAGCAGGCAACAACATTAAGAACTCAGCCCTGACGTCCATTTTCTGCAACAGATCTTAAGGCTCTAGGGCCACATCCAGATGAGCACAGCCGTGTGGTATGTGGCGCCGCAGACATGTCTGTGGTGCTACGGACCACACGTTCAGTTGTTCTCCGTGCTACAAGGGAGCAGCGTGGAGGGGTTTGTTTGTTTGTTTTATTTCTGAATATCCAGGAGTCAAGAAACCTGTGTGGGGAAAAGAAGCAGTGATGAATGTGGCGGCAGCATGCACCGCCCAAAGCTGGAGCCTGGCTGGCTGGAGCCACGCTTTGCTGCCAGCCAGGCTCCACACAGCAGGATCGCCACTGCTGCAGCCCTGGGAAGCCCCCAGGTAAGGCTGCTGGGACCAGCCCAGTGCTGGCCCCAGCCTCCCCTACCCCCTGCCCCGGGTAACTCGCTGCACGCCAGAGCAGGCATGGCACAGGCATTCCCTGGGGACAACTAGTGGTGGCAAAAGGTGTACCGCTGCTAGTTGCCCCTGGGGAACCAAATGTCCACACGTGTCTGGACGCAGCCTAGTGGGCTAACTCTTGAATCCTGCAATAGTTCCCTGGCTCTTGCTACCGATCAACTCCTCATGAATATCAAAAATCTATTGTTTAGGTGCAGCCAACTCTTTCCTGAGGTGGGCTTGATGACTTTCTGTCCCTCTGCCTACACAAAATTAGTTAACAAGGATTCAGCAGTAATCAGCATCATGATGCTGCACAAAGCCAAAAGACAACAGTTTCAAACCCACACACATTTTACATGGTATCACATTCTGATGGAGCTTGGTTGCTAAGGACAACCATCCAGTGCCAATAGCCACAGATGGCACATGGTCTGGCACTCATCGTCACCCTGGGCACAAGCATCACCTCATGATGTGGGTGTTTCAATGCTCCAGAAATGTCTAATACTATTAATGACTCAGCATTAGACACAGGGGCTCCCTCAGGAACATGTGAACAGCCAGCAGACAACAACACACCTTCCATCTTCCACTGTTGAAAATAAGTCCCAGTATGTAAAGGGTATTGGGTGTTTTTAAAGAGGTAAACGTGACAGGTTGGCTGCCTGCCTGGGAGGTAACCAGGCACTGGAAGCCTAAGTCATTTACCCTCAGGCATTGAGCCAGTTTTGAGAGAGGAAACTATCCTTTCTTCCCTTCCCACTACCACTATTCTGGAGCAAGTGATTCTGTTTCCTCTCTGCCCCTTACGTATTCCCACTAGCACTTCCTCCTAAAGCTAATTTCAGGCCACATTTAGAAATATACATAGATCTAGAATGAAGCACAACAGAACAGGCAGCTATTCCAGTTAGTCCATTATTCATCCTCTCACGGTTGCTTTTGCACCTGATGGTTCAGAGGAGGATTACACCCCTCCGCACCCCCACCACTTTCTAACAGACATACCAAAGTACTGCACCCAGCCTACTGTGCACGGGTGTATGCTGGGGCAGTACGGGAAGGGGGAGAATTGCTCCCCTCTCCCCACTACTTCTGAATTACCAAAACAGGGAATATGTTTGATGTATGTGTCTCAGAAAGTATCTTGCTTAGCTCTTTTAACAGTATATGCTAAGAAAGCAGTAAGATGGCACTAAACTGAAGGGCAATGAAATCTGTTGGAGACTTGAACAGCTTCTCTGTTTTTTCTTAACCAAGTTTGAACAGAATGGCAAATGATGGGAGGAAGTGAAGGGGAAAGAAGTCAAGATGAGCTTATGAAAATGAAACAGGCCTGGGGGGAAGGGTGGGGCTGGGGGAGTTAAACTAATATTTCACATTGATAGGCCCAGATTATCAACAGGCACCTCCTCCTCTTGGAAGTCAAATAGGTACTAAGCCACGGGCAGGCACATACAGTCCATGGGCCAGATCTGGCCTGCCAGGCAATTCTATTTGGCCCACGGGGCCCCTAAAATTTAGAAAATTTATATTTAATCTGCTCCTGGCTGCCTGTCAAAGATGACAGGAGCCAGGGGCAGCCGGCAGGACTCAACAGCAAGACCCGCCTGGCCCCGCTCCCCGCCCCCTCCCCCCG